TGGAATTTTGTCTTCTTTGCGGGCTGACATGTCGCTAAGAGGAGTCTGTTTTCGAAATTACGAAAACTGATACCCCCAAAGTTACTGTTAAATTTGACCTGAAACTCGGTGGAAAGGATCAGACAGGAGGCAGTTTGACAGATTTCGTAATCTTAGTTTTCGTAATCTCGATAACTATAAAGACGGGTCTTAGGTCTTAGGTTTTAGTTTGCGAGGGTCTTAGTTTTCGTAACATCCATAACGTGTTTGCAGCCGCACCGAATGATGTTTGATTGGGTTTTTGTCTACGGTATCTATGTGTAAAGTTGAAAATAAATGCAAGATTCTAAAACCACGCAAACTTGACCTCGTTAAACGCCTTCTCATTGAGTATTTCCTGGCGACGCCGGCCATCTTCGAAATTCTACCGATGGCTATAGATTACAGTTTGTCAATATAACAGACAATAGTGAACAGCTAACACCTCTTTAATCATGATAGAAAGCTAAAAAAATTGGCTCTCTTGTTGAATGGGAGAAAAATGGCATCATGTATTGGAGTAAACACTTGCAATCCTGACAGAAGCTTCCGCCATCTCTTGAGAAAAGCGGGATTTGTCTAGACGAAGTCAGTTTAGTGTTTACATTAGGCTCAGATAAATGTTGCCCGCATAACCGCCTCCATAAGCTCAATGGATAGAGCGCTGGACTGATGTGCGGGAGGTCGAGGGTTCGAGTCCCGGCCGGATCAACACTCAGGGTCTTAAAATAATTGAGAAGAATTTGCTACCATTCTATAACATCAAGAAATGGTTAGATTTTCTAGTCTTCTCGGATATGGACGAATAAATGGAGGTCCCGTCTCCTGCAGGGTTGGGGTAGGAGACGTTAATTTCCCACACACGAGATCGCTGTGTGATGAATGTCCTCCCTTCGGGTGGGATTGGTGGGTTTATTGGGCCCGCAGTAATCGGCGCAAGCTGTTGCGGTGTCCCTGAATCTAAATACAAACGACTCAAAATCCGTTTTCTGTACCAAAACCTAGCGCATGCCCGTAAGTTATTCAGCTTTATCAGCGGAAGCTGGGACCGACGCAATCTTTGCTTCCGTTGCGCCCACGAACGCCTTGTATGCGGTGACCTTCCCCAAGACGAGAATGAACCATAGACCGAACTTGAAAATAATCATTCTTGAGATCAAGCAAGTCAAATATGCTAATCAAGCTGAGAGTGCTACTATTATAAAAAGGGCAAAAATTAAGTTGGTTTTTTTTCAAATTATGCCGAATTATACTCAGCTATCTCTTGTGTCTCGGCTATTATCCTCTTGTGTCTCGGCTATCATCCTTGTATCTATTCAAAGTTTTCCTTTTTTTTTTCCTCGTATTTTAGGTACACCATCGTCGCCGGGATGTCAACCTCGAAACCTTCCGTGTTTAACCGCACACTTTGTTGGAAGAGACGCGGACGTAGAACAAATCCTAGAGAAACTGCGGACCTTCCGTATGGTTGTTCTTCTATCTATCCCAGGAAAGGGGAAGACTGAAGTGGGAGTCTGCGTAAGTCGCGTGTTAAAGCAAGAGTGTTACCATTTTGTTACACATATTCGAGTAGAGAGTTATCATCAGAAACTCGAAGACGTCTGCAGAGAGATTCTTGGTCGATTAAGTAGTCGTCCTTGGTCGCCAACCGCTGATTTTGTGTCTATTACGAAGCGTAAACTATCGGAGCGAAATATCCCAACTGTCATAGTACTAGACAACACAGAGAATATACAGGGTGAGGAATTTGACGAATTTGCTGAATGGCTGGTGAAATCTGCCCCGAATGTACAGTTTATAATTACGTGTTGCTGCTGGATATTGTGACCTTGGAAGTAAGTAACCTTTTGGGTTCGTGTATCATTGTAGGAGACTGGATGGAGGTGATAAAGCGCGCTGTCAAATTCTGAGTTGGGGGGTTTCTATATAAATAAACCGAGAGAAAAAGACAAATAAATTTCCAATTGAATAAAAACTGAAAAAAATATTTACTAAGCTCGTGTATTGCAATCTCGTCGAGTCTTATTTTTTTGGAGAAAGAGGAATGGTCTTGTCTATTGTCCACGACGTGCTTCATTGACTTTTACAAGCTGTCATAAACTTCGAGTCGTATTTAAATTGGTTCGTCTTATTTTCTCTGTGACAATCGTCTTCGTTCCGAAAACGAAAATATCTTGATGGAAGTCTAACGCACATGATATCACATACAAACGTCCAACAGTCAATCAGTATTTACAACATAAATGAAGGTAGTACGCATCGCTTGATCGGTCAATTCAATTTTCAAGCGGATGCTTTATTAGGTTATAGAGCCCGCACGTAACCAGTTATGTTATAACAGCAATAGAAAGCTGAATAACCAGGCTCAATAACGTGATAAAGCCACTTGGGATGTTGGCAGAACTCTCGGAAAGCTTATTAATCACTCGCTCTCGGCTCGTGATTTATGAGCTTTCCTCGAAACGTCTACGGCTTACAAGCTTGATATTATTTGACACAATCACCCTCGACGTAGTCTCCCTCGCAGCCGTTTTTAGTCTCGTCACGCAACGCTCCTCGTTGCGTGACGAGACTAAAAACGGCTGCGAGGGAGACTACCCTCGACGCGCCCAAGTCCATTCCAGTTAGTTGTTTCTTTTTGAAACGCAGTAAGGAAACATAATGTAATATATTAAGAACGCATATCCTCTCTTCACACCTTGTTAGATTCCTATCGATTGTGTGGTGATCATCAAAAAGCAATCGACATTTGGAAAGAGAACACTTTGCCAGTTTACAAAGAGCAGCTTGGTAACCACCCCTGGACAGCTTCGATTTTGTCCTACATCGCTGACTCGTACAAGACCCTTGCAGTTGGAAGCTCTGAGCAAGGTTACATCGACCAGGCCGAAATGTACTTCAGAGAAGCTCTAGGGCTACGAAAGAAGCTGTTAGGAGATCATCAGGATACAGCTCGATCGCGCGTTCAGCTAAGCGATGTTTTAGTCCTTCAAGGACAATTCGAGAAGGCCCTGAAAAAGCTCAATAAGGCCTTTGTAATTCAAAACGATATTCTGGGTCCTGAACACAGGATCACGAGGAACACTGTGGAGAAACAGAGTGATGTGAGGGAGAAAGA